GAATTCCAGAAGCAGGCAAGCACAAAATGGTGCTCTCTTATAACACTTATTGTGACAAGATACAGCTTTTTAAGAATTTTGAACGCTGTGAGTACTCTGATATAGGTCTTGGTGATTTTTTTTATTTATTAGTTCAGACAAAAGTCTTAGAATTTGTTCACGCTCAATTTTTCCCGCGGTTTGTTTGACTTTAGATTTTGTTTTAATTTCCGTTCATGTTTTTTGTTAAAAAGAAGGCAATCTCCGTTATCATACAGCAAAAATGTAGAAGTCATGAAAACGTGATGGAAGTCATCAAAACGTGTCTAATTAGAAATTTAATTTAGTTGACAGATTACTCAGTGAAAAAAAATGAACTGATTTATCCAGTTTCTCAAAACGGTTTTTTTTTTCAAAATTGGTCATACATAAATTGTTTGGGAGAGCTGTAAGGGCATATTCTTTAAATAATGCAAGTTGAAGATGTTTCAAAAAATTAAGTCAATTTTTTCTGTTGTTCTGCGTTCATTACTTTTTTGCAACTGTAAATTCGCTTTGTTTTTTGATTCTCAAAATGTTTGCAAAAGTTTGACTACTTGATTTTAGAAACAAATTTTAAATTTTAGTTGGTAAAGAAAAACAATTTCAGTTATCTTCGGAAAAGTTTTTCAGGCTTTTTGAAAATATACTGGAAAAAAGTAGCGCAACCACATATTTGGGATCAGTTTTGAATATGCTGAATTTCTAAAATTTCTCATATGACTCGACTTTTTGTAACACAAAACAGTAATTTTTGATGATAAAAATATTTGTTTGAACAAACAAAACCGCATTTTTCAATTTATTTTGATCGGTAGCTTCCAAAAAAGTTGCAAAATAGATAAATTCGGCAGTCATAGTCAAATAGGCCGATTAAAAAACAGTGTCTGTTGGAAAATTACTAGAAAAACGATGCCGAAAATGTTTGAAACTTTTGATTCCCAAATTGGCATTAAAAAATTTCAAAACCAATTTTCGTCTAGTAAAACCAAGTTTTCGCGGCTTAAATCAAGCCTAAGTAAGCTCTTGCAAGCCTGCAAACCTTATGTTTACAAAATGTACTATCTCGACGTTATACTGCAAATAAAAAACTTCAAACCGGTTTTTTTGACACCGCGAAAAAACGTTCAGAATTTTTAGTGTCGTTCTAATTGCGACTGAAAGGGCATTAATATGATTTATAACTCACCCCATTTTGATGATTGTTTGTGATTCCTGATTTTGCATGGAAAAAAAACTAAAACGCGGCCGCATACATGTTTTAAAATTGGTCGGAACAAAAATACTGCTAGTATGATGACAAAATCCTGGTTTGTCAGTTACAGCCTTGAATGATGCACTTTAGTGTCTACCAATTAGTTTGAATTGACAAAAAAATGTTACTGAAGAGTTTTTTATTCAAATTTTTGAAGATCCCTCATTAGCTATTTAAATTATAGTGAAGAATTTAGCTCCTCCAGACACTATGATAAACTGCAAACTATGGTAATTGGCGTTTATGAAGGTTTTTTGTAAACCAATCAGCTCCCCTCATTTCTGTTTGGAACAATTTTTGTGCGAGATCTAGTCGCCGCTCACGTGTTTATAGATTAAAATACATTGCTCAAAAATAATCTCAGATGAACAAAATTGAAACCTACAAAATAAATGTTTTTTTTAATATGTTTTTTTAGTATTGAGCTCTGGACTAAATTCAGATGATATAATAATTGCCCGTCAAAAAAGTTTGGTTAAAAACTCGGAATTTGCCTGAAGCAGAAAAGGATACAACAAGAAAAATTTTTTTGTCTTTCCTCAAAAGTCGGAACAATATGACAAGCTAGTTGGACATTTATATTTCTAATACAACTAAAAGTTCTACACTTAATTGGCTGTCAAAGCTTAAAGTATTTAAGTTATCTGTTTCAAAAACTGCTCGTGACTAATTAATGGAAGTCGGAAAATTCAGGATTTTATCCCGATATACCAGCAGTCTTTGTTTTGAATAATAACGTTATTTTAATAATCTGGAAAGAAACTGGTGCTCGTAGACACTAGGACCAGCCAAAGTTTTCAAACGGAGTGTATCTTTCGCGATAAGCAAACATAGGTTTAATTGCTCTCAATTGTTTTTTGTTTCGACTTTCGAAGACAGTGAGGAATATATATGCTCGGGGTGGTTTTGCATTATTCAGACCACTCTTACAAAGTTGAGCTCACTAGTGGGGCCGATCTCTTTATCTGCATAGATGAAAGAGATCGGCCCCACCGCTATCACTATAAAGACCCTAGATTGAAAATCTCAGAGCCATCTGAGTGTGCTCACCGCTATTGTAATCTACAATGAGTATGACAGAAACTGTTTGTTTTACTATCCGTCACTGCAAAATCGTTTCAAGTTGAGTTGAGGGAGCTAATTGGTTTAATTAACTCCGTACGCGACTCAAATTGCACCACTTTGTTTTTGATATTATCAGCCTAAAGTTCATAGCTTTGCCAATATTTAATTTCCCAAAAACTATCCGAGACCAATTAAAGGGCAATCGAATATTCAGGGCTTTGCCCTGATACGAGCAGTCTTGTTTTTATACGTATCCATGAAAGATAGTCAAAATGATTGGAAACTGAATGTTTCACCTATTAAAATCTTGAATTTGCATTTTTTACCCCAAATATCTATTAAATAATTTCTTTTGCAATGTGGCTGTCTAATATTTTACACTGCGTGTCTAGACAATGCAAGCTAAAATCTTTGTTTATGCCATAATTTTTCTTAGATTTTTTAAGTCAAAGAAAACCTTTCTTAGATTTTGAGTTTTTTTATTGGTTTGAGTCGGATTTTTTTATGCACGGAATAATGGTTCGATTCATTTATATGACTTAAATCAAGCTAATTGGTCGTATTTTTAGGTGGAATCCCTCATATGCGAAGGACCGAAAGCACAAAAATAAAAATCAGCCAATCAGATTTCAGTAATTTAAAATTTGGAAAGAAAACGTGAAATTCTGAAAGAAAGTAAACATTTCCATCAGAAGCAGATTTAGGGGGGGGGGGGGGGAGGGCTAAACGTTTCTTACTTTCAGGGGTTCGACCCCTGTCGACCCTAAAGGTCCCCCTTTGTACCATTTGGAGATATCAATTTTTGGATGACTGGCCTTAAAAGTTTTGGGTGACTGGCCTTCGGCGACAATATATACTAATTTTGAGGGCTGAGCGCACGCCAAAAAAGCGCAGTTTTTTGGTCGCATTTTTTCAAAACGCCTTTTTTGGCCTGTTTTTGAAAAAATTACCTGCGGTGCAGAAAATATGGTCAATCTAGGGTCTTTATAATGATAAGCGAAAGCTCAAAAAATCAAATTGGTCGACCTAAAAGAAAGTTTCGAAATTTTTTGAAAATCCGCCCACCCCCCTCGAGAAAAACCTAGATCTCTGCCTCAGCTCCGAACCACCCAAAAGATTCCCCATCCTCATGATTCTTTTTCAAGTTTGGCGTTCGACTAATTTTCTTTTCTGTCTTTCGCCCACGAATTTTTTCACCCTTTCGGTCCTTCGCGCTTGAGAATAGCCCCCTTATAACGGCTTAAATTGTAATATTTATTATTCATCAAACCTAATATTACTTAATAGTTCACCAAACTTTTTTCTAAAATTGATTTGAAACCAATTTAAGGGCAGTCTTTTTGTTTTATTAACGCGTAGCGTAAGTGGAAAAAAACAACAGTTCAGAAATTGTTCTTAATTGCATTGCGTATAGCCATTCATCCGAATAGTGCGTTGCTAGTTATAAAACAGTTGCTAGCTTTTGGCAACAGTAATAGGTTTAGCGGGAATTCCCCCTCGTCGACGAATGGACCTCGCACCACCCAAAGGGTCCATCCTGTGATCCTTCGGTTTTAACTTATTGCATCCGTTTTTGATCGATCAAAAGCTTAAATCTTTGTAGAGGCGCCTTTATTGCCAATGCACAATGTTTGAAAGAGAGAAGACACGCGCTCGAAACTTTTTGTTATGAACAAAATTTGATTAAAAAAACACCCTGGAATTCAAATTGGGTTGGTTACTTTAAAATTTGCTTTTCCACACTTTTGTTTGACAAATTGTGGTTTTTATCAGGAGCGGATTTAGGGGGGGGGGGGGCGGACGCCCCCCCTCTTCAGGGATTCGACCCCCTGCCGACCCAAAGGGTCCCCCCTTTTTACTATTTTGAGATATCCATATTTAGTAATGGACCCTAAAAATTTTCTAAAGGCGCTTTCGGCGCCAATATATGCTGCTTTATGAGGGGAGCGCGCGCCAAAAAAACGCAATTGTTTTGCTCAAAATTTTCTAAAAAGTGTCTAAAAACGCCTTTTTTGGCCTGCTTTTCAAAATTTTGCCTGCGGCGCAGAAAATTGTACCAAAACAGGGTCTTTTTAATGCTTTGGGAGAGCTCGGAAAATCAATTCGGTCGACCTAAAAAAAAGGTCGACAAAATTTTCGAGAAAATCCTAGATCCGCCCCTGGAGAAAATCCTAGATCCGGCCCTGGTTTTTATAGTGTTTTAGATAACTTTGATGAAAAAGTATAAGAAATAGTTGACAAATTACAAACCTCCATATGGGGAAAGAATTTTCTAACATTTTTTAAAATACATACTTTAAAAATAACCAAATTAGCAATTTTCCGTCAAAAATTATTTCAGTTGGTCAAATTGGATTAGCAGTTTCAAGTTTTTGTTCAGTGTACCTGCTGTTACTTATTCATTTATAGTGTCTTGTAAATAAGTGCTTTTATTCCATCATGCGCACTCAAACTCTTTACTTGGTTTGACATGGTTCAAATAAACTACTGATGGTACAATTTGTTGGTACAACATACGCGCAACTAAGCTGAACAGTGAACAACGCATTGTTAAACCGCGTTGGTCAGTTTTAAACACAAACTCAACATTGTATACTCTTTTTACAATTCAACTATTTGCGTTTTAAATGGCAATCAATGGTAATTTTTGTTTACATGTTAGCAGGTGTCCTAGATCCAATCAGTTTCGACCGAATATCGTGGCATGACCGGCAAAAAATTAGACAGCGAAACTGACAAGAAGGTTAACAATCAAAGTTATATTCAGGAATCCACATTTTACAGAAACATGGGAAGAATTTTTCAACTTCCAGCTGTGAAATGCCTTCTATTCTTGTGGATTGCTTCATCTCTGACCTATTTGTTTTTGTTTACTTCCCTTCTGGGTGACTCATCCTCTGATGATATTGCACACCTGGATAGAAGTGGCGAGAAAAACGATTATCCTGTTCAGCCTACATTTAATTCTTTCTCTGGAACTGTGAATTTATCAAAAACTTTACCAGAAGTTTGGAGTTGTGATACTTTTGATAAGGAAATTACAGAGCAAAAACGGTCGCTGCAGTTTGCAGGAAAAAGCAAAGCAAAGAGTACAAGTTACTGTCTATTAATGATGGAATCGTTCCCGAAATGTATCGGATTTGTGCAAAATCCCGACAACGAATCGCATTTACTTCCGAACCCATTTCTAAAATACAACGACAAACTTAGTTTTGAAAATAATGCGGTTAAATATCGATCCTCACATATTTACTTTGTCCACATAATGAAATCAAGTGGAACTTCGATCGAAGGAATTTTGAGAAAATTGACCAGAAGATCTGCAGCTCCTGTCACTTACGAACCGATTTTGAGCTATTATTGCTCAAGCATGCTGTATTTTTACCAAAAAGCAGTCAAAAGTCCTCGAACAAGATACATATCATTGGACAAGCGCTCATATGGATTGCATAAGATGGTTCCATCACCAGGCTATTACATCACAGTCTTACGCAATCCGGTTGACAGATTTGTCTCCATGTATTACTATATCAAACAAGGTCGCTACCCAGGCTTGCTCGAAGATCAGTTATTTTCGGACATTTTCAGTAGTAAAGATTTAGAAGATTTTGTGGAATCAACGAAAAATAAACAGATACCATTTTTTGATGATCACTCTATTAGGATGTTGCACTTTGACAGGTATCCGGATGTTTTCTCGACCTTTTCTGGAGGTCCTGACACTTACATACAAGGTACGACCGAAATAATTAAAATCAACCAATCACATTACGAAGAAGCTTTAAGAAACTTGCGCAATTGTGCGTTTGTCGGTTTAACCGAACACTTCGACGAAAGTCAGCAAATGTTGGAAACACTTCTCGGTTTAGAATCCTTGAAAACTGTAGAAATGAATGTGAACAAAAATTACGACAAGAAAGGAATAAGTGAAAAAATACGAGCTCTCATTGAGCCGAGAGTAGTTTATGACACTAAATTATACGAAGAAGCCAAAAGTATATTCAAAAAGCAATACAATAATTATCTCAAGTTTTATGGGAAATAATTTTTACATTATTAGCTGTTGATTTTTAAAATTTATTTCATTTTGTGTATATATTTGTGACCCCAATTTAAAACTTAATACAACCGTTTTTGAGTTGACTGTAAGGTTTTTGATGAGCAAGAGCCCCAAGTGAGCAATCTCCTTACCTAAAAATCAAGTGAACAATCTCACCCCTAAAAACCAAGTAAACAATCTTCCCTCTTAAATCCAAGTAAACAATCTTCCCCTAAAAACTAAGTAAACAATCTCTCTCCCTAAAAACCAAGTGAAAAATCTCCCCTCTAAAAACCAAGTAAACAATCTCCCTTCCCTTTAAAAACCAAGTGAAGAATCTACCCCCTAAAAACCAAGTAAACAATCTTCCCTCTTAAATCCAAGTGAACAATCTCCCCCTAAAAACAAAGTGAACAATCTCTCTCCCTAAAAACCAAGTAAACAATCTCCCCCCTAAAAACCAAGTGAACAATCTCACCCCTAAAAAACCAAGTAAACAATCTCCCCCCTAAAAACCAAGTGAACAATCTCGCCCCTAAAAACTAACTAAACAATCTTCCCTCTTAAATCCAAGTAAACAATCTCCCCCTAAAAACTAAGTGAAAAATCTTTCTGCCTAAAAACCAAGAACAATCTCCCCTCTAAAAACCAAGTTAACAATCTCCCGACCCTTTAAAAACCAAGTGAAGAATCTACCCCCTAAAAACCCAGTAAACAATCTTCCCTCTTAAATCCAAGTGAACAATCTCCCCCGAAAAACTAAGTGAACAATCTCTCTCCCTAAAAACCAAGTGAACAATCTCCCCTCTAAAAACCAAGTAAACAATCTCCCGGCCATCTAAAAACTAAGTGAAGAATCTATCCCCTAAACACCACGTGAACAATCTCCCATTTAAAAACCAAGTGAGCAACCTGCCCCTATTTTTAAATGGCAATTTCTAGCAAAAGTACTTGCATGCACTGATCGGCTGAAAAAAAGCACCTCCCTATTATGGTAAACGAGGAGTAGGACAGAGGATAAAGCATTTGTCTGGATATACAAGTAACTAGAACTGATAGCAAGGTCGCGCTTTGAAAATTCTGCTAAATTGTCAGCATGGTTTTTATCTTTAGATTCGTTACCACTCACTAACCACAGGCGCCAGTAACACTAAGAGTCATAGATTTGAAATAGTTATGCCCATAAATTGTTGGAAATTCATAAAAAATTAGCTGATTTTCTCTTTTCTAATTTTGATTCTCACAGTTTTTTATTTCTAAAATTTATTTCATTTTGTGTATATACTTGTGACCCCAATTTAAAACTTAATACAACCGTTTTTGAGTTGACTGTAAGGTTTTTGATGAGCAAGAGCCCCAAGTGAGCAATCTCTTTACCTAAAAATCAAGTGAACAATCTCACCCCTAAAAACCCAGTAAACAATCTTCCCTCTTAAATCCAAGTGAACAATCTCCCCCGAAAAACTAAGTGAACAATCTCTCTCCCTAAAAACCAAGTGAACAATCTCCCCTCTAAAAACCAAGTAAACAATCTCCCGGCCATCTAAAAACTAAGTGAAGAATCTATCCCCTAAACACCACGTGAACAATCTCCCATTTAAAAACCAAGTGAGCAACCTGCCCCTATTTTTAAATGGCAACTTCTAGCAAAAGTACTTGCATGCACTGATTGGCTGAAAAAAAGCACCTCCCTATTATGATAAACGAGGAGTAGGACAGAGGATAAAGCATTTGTCTGGATATACAAGTAACTAGAACTGATAGCAAGGTCGCGCTTTGAAAATTCTGCTAAATTGTCAGCATGGTTTTTATCTTTAGATTCGTTACCACTCACTAACCACAGGCGCCAGTAACACTAAGAGTCATAGATTTGAAATAGTTATGCCCATAAATTGTTGGAAATTCATAAAAAATTAGCTGATTTTCTCTTTTCTAATTTTGATTCTCACAGTTTTTTATTTCTAAAATTTATTTCATTTTGTGTATATATTTGTGACCCCAATTTAAAACTTAATACAACCGTTTTTGAGTTGACTGTAAGGTTTTTGATGAGCAAGAGCCCCAAGTGAGAAATCTCCTTACCTAAAAATCAAGTGAACAATCTCACCCCTAAAAACCAAGTAAACAATCTTCCCTCTTAAATCCAAGTAAACAATCTTCCCCTAAAAACTAAGTAAACAATCTCTCTCCCTAAAAATTAAGTGAAAAATCTCCCCTCTAAAAACCAAGTAAACAATCTCCCGGCCCTTTAAAAACCAAGTGAAGAAAAAAAGCACCTCCCTATTATGATAAACGAGGAGTAGGACAGAGGATAAAGCATTTGTCTGGATATACAAGTAACTAGAACTGATAGCAAGGTCGCGCTTTGAAAATTCTGCTAAATTGTCAGCATGGTTTTTATCTTTAGATTCGTTACCACTCACTAACCACAGGCGCCAGTAACACTAAGAGTCATAGATTTGAAATAGTTATGCCCATAAATTGTTGGAAATTCATAAAAAATTAGCTGATTTTCTCTTTTCTAATTTTGATTCTCACAGTTGGAAAGCTATGGTAATCCTGATAAACTCAGTAATAATAAACCATAAAATATGGCGAAAATTGAGCGGCTACAATTACTAATTGGGACTTGAAGAAGACTGCTCGTATATCAGGGCAAAGCCCTGGGTATTCCGACTATCCCTTAATTCATATCAAACAGTTGTTGGAAAACGAAAATGTTGAAAATCTATAAACTTTGGACAAAATTAAAAAGACCGATCTGCTAGCCTCTTTTTTTGGAACGATTTTGTTGTGCGGAATAAATTGCCACGCATAAATTATTTGCGTTACGCTATCAGCAATGTGAATAAAATCCTCAAAGCGCGCAATATTTAGCCCAGAACATGGTCAGTTTGGCAATTTTCAAGCCCCCAGAACTTAACAAAAAAAATCAGAGACAAAAAAAATCTTTTTACATTTGATTTCAGGAACTCGATATCTTCAATGGGGTATGAAAAACTTTTGTTGAAAATAATTATTTCCATCGGTGAAAATTGACTGAATAAAAAAACCACACCGAGAATAAATATTCCGTTTTCTTCGAAAGTCGGAACAATTAATTAAAAACATGCTGCCTGAATTGTTTCATTGAATATAAAAAGCAAAAAAATTTCCGTTTCTTAATGCTAAATTTGCAAAAGTAAAAGCTGATAGGCAAGCTTTAAATGTTCTTCGATTTTATGTTTAAGACTGAAAAAACAACGCAGAACCAAAATCAGTGTTTTGCCTTTTCGCTTTCAAGCTGCCCCATTTTGTTTAGTACAGTGACTAAGATGTTAATTGCTTGTCGCCTTGTGTAGGGTTTTGAAAAATTGAACCATTAAAACAATCAGGTGATTTGCTAAATAGTCCAATTCGCTGAAGAAAGGAAGGAATGCTATTAACTTCGCCAGATTTTAAACGCAAACCTTAAAGTTTCCAATTATTACTATTTTTTTTCAGTAGATTTTTTCAATTTTTTTCACGGAAAAAAAATCGTATCTTTTGATCTAGTTTTCTCAAATTTTATTCTTGAAAATGGGTCAAAAATATTGTTCGTGAATTTCAAAGATCTTTATGAGCATATCTTTTTTCTTTAAATTTTGCAAGTTGAAGGTTCTTCAAAAATTAAGTAGCTTTTTTCTTGTCCTGGCGTTAATTAATTTTTCCAACTATAAATTAGCAATTTTTTTAATTTTCAAAATGTTAAGTTCATCTAATGAAAAAGGTAATTTCAAGTTATTTTCGGTGAAGGTTTTCACGCTATTTAGAATTAGGTATAAGAATGCTGACTTTCAAACCTTTTCCATGTGACGCAACACTTTGTGGCGCAAAATATTACTCTTTCAAGATATTAATAACTGTTTGAATGAACAAAACAGCAAATCAGTCTGATCTGTAAAATTCAAAAACCCTGCAAAAAAAAATTATTTTTGAATTTTACTAGCATATTATGTCAGTTAGTACTTCTAGTGCTTGGTAATTTTTAGTTTCCTTGTAAAAAGTTCCGTAACATTGTTAATGTATTGGTAATAGTTTTTTGCAGAAATTATGCCGAGTTTATATATTAGTACTTTATTAGTAATTATGCTGATTTTCCTTGTTTTTTATATTTTTTTTACTGATGCCTATTGTTCCAACGTTCAAATAAAAGAAGGAAATCTTACTGTTGGTGTTATTTTGTCCGACCAGTTTTGGCGATCAAAAGTTACGTTTCTAACAAAAAATTTTTAAACGCCTATAAAGATAATGACTCCTTTAACTCAAATAGTCGAAAAAAATGCGCATCTTGTCTCGTAATGTTTCAAAGGTCTGAAGTTTGCCAATCTGGTCGGCGGTGGACTAATTGTGGGTATTTTGAAGAATTGATCTAAGATGCTGATAGTTTAGCGCGTTATTAATGCGTGGCAATATAATTAGCAATCAATTTTGTTTTCTTCAAATTAAACCAAGACTGCTCGTTTGAGAACAAAATCTTGATTGTTCAGTTGAATCCTTGAATATTGCCCTTTAATGTCTGCCAAATAGCTTTAATGGAAAAGAAATTGTGAGAATTTTTTATTCAAGTTTTTAAAGATCGACAATTAGCAATTTAAATTACAGTGAAGTATTCAGCACCCACTGACGCTATGATAAAAAAAAACAAATTAAAGTAATTGGCATCTCTGAGCGTGTTTTTTAAAACTAACTACTTTGCCTCATAACAATTTGGAACAATTTTTGTGTGTAAGATAAAATCAGCGCTCACGCGTTTAGAGGTTGAAAAATATTGCTCATTAACTATTGAACGGTTATAAGGATTTGTTAGTTTAAATTTTGTTTATTTGGGATTATTCAACAAAAATGAAACTTACAAAACTTCATAACCGTAAAAAAAAATCACTGGTGAAAAAATGTTTATTAGAATTGAGCTCTGGACTATGTTCAGATGATATAAAAATGGCTGGTTTAATAGTCGGAATTTGTCTGAAGCTGAAAAACTACAAAGACAATTGTTCCCTCTCTTTTTTTTTTTAGAAAATCGGAACAATGTTGCAAGCTAATAGGCCCTACAACTTTCCTATGCAACTGAAATTTTACACCTAATTGACAGTCAAAAATTAGTATATTTAATTTTTCTGTTTCAAAAATTATTCATAACCAGATAAGGGAAATCGCAAATTTCAGGATTTTGCCCCGATATACCAAAAGTTCATATAGTGTCGTTATTTAAATTCTCCGGAAAGAAACTGGTGTTCATAGACAAAATGACCGGCCAGAGTTTCCATACAAAAAGTAACTTTCAGGTAGAGCAAACATAGGTTCAAATGGTCAGGTTCACATAACACAAATCTCCCACATAAAAAAATGAACAATCTCTCCCCCTTTAAATACTACGTAAAGTCCCCATCCCCCCACGAAAACCAAGTTAACAATCTCCTCTTCGCCCCAAAAAAGGTGAACAATCGTCTCCTAAAAACCAAGCCAGTAGCCCAGTAGCGGATTTATTCCGCCCCTCACACACTTTGCCTCTTAATTCATCTCTGACACAAAGTGCGCCACTTAATTTGTGAAAAGTTAAGAGTGCAGATGGTTAATTGTGCTGCGTGCGTCAAACGGAAACTGTACAAATAGTGGATCTTGTTAACTATGTTAACTATAAACCCCCCCCCCCCCCTCCTATGGTACCTTGTAACGAATACCCGCCCCCTAATGAAAGAATTGAACAGTTAAACATATACCAATTGAATTTTGTACATTGTCAACTATCCCCCCTATTGCAATAGGGGGGGGGGGGGGGAGGGGATAGTTAACAGGATCTTAAATAGTGTACAAGAAAGATATAAGATATTTAAAACATTTTTTTTTGTAATCAACAACGTGTCTTCAAAAACTGAGTCACAAAGCGATCAAAAAAGTTCATTTTTTTTGAACTGATCTTTTAGGTTTTTTGGTTTTTTAAGAAGTTTTCATTTTTTTTGAACAAACTAAATTTTTCACGGCTTTTTTAAATCAATTTTCTTCATACAAATTTTACCCGCTCGCCTTACTATGTCAAAATTTGACTTAGCGCGAAAATTTCAAACATGTTTTTCTCGACATAGTAAATTTGTTGAGAGTTTTTCAAGAAAGTTTGAATCGCGACTTGAAAATTTTTTGAAGATTTGTTTCACTCAATCGATTTTAACAATTGAAGATTTCTAGTTTTGCGTGAATTAAAAAGTAGCACATTCAGCGGTCAGACGAAGTTGTTCTCAACTTTCAGCGGTCAGAACATCACTGCAACAAGAATGGCACAGGGAAAAGGATAAAAAAAACTTGTCGGAATATGCTCGGTTATAGTGGTCCATGGTATAATCACCTGACATCGGAGAATATCAGAGAGACCACTCTATCTTTTTGTGTTTTCCAATTCATCCATATAGAATTCAAATAGATTTTTTCAAATCAAATTTTTCACGCAATTTTAATATAACAGTGGGCAAAATATTTTTCTGCTTTTTTATTCTATCTGTGACAGAGAAGCTGTAAGATCTACGGCTCATAAAACATCATTTGTCACTCGACCTAACTGCATGCTTTTTGTGGCTCTTGAGTTTGCTCAGAAACAAAAAAAATTAAAACAAACTAAAACACAAACAACGACAAAGATCGTCCCCTAATCCAATGATCGGAGCAAAAAACAAAATACGTGAAAAAAGAATAAAACAATTCAATAAATACGATAACCAAAAGTTTTTGAAATAATCAGAAAATAAAACAAAAAATTGTACTTGATAGTTTAATATCTGGGTAGATGATAAACAATTGTGCTCCAACACTCAATAAAAAGAGAAAATTTTTGAATATATTATAATAATAATTGTGCTTTTAGCAAAATTATAATTAATTATAAGCGCCAATTTTAGATGTTTAAACGATTTATAATCCATTATAATGACAACATTTTTAATGAAATCTTAATAAATTATAATCAATTATAATTGATTATAAATTGATTATAACCCCTGCTTATAAATACGATAACCAAAAGTTTTTGAAATAATCAGAAAATAAAACAAAAAATTGTACTTGATAGTTTAATATCTGGGTAGATGATAAACAATTGTGCTCCAACACTCAATAAAAAGAGAAAATTTTTGAATATATTATAATAATAATTGTGCTTTTAGCAAAATTATAATTAATTATAAGCGCCAATTTTAGATGTTTAAACGATTTATAATCCATTATAATGACAACATTTTTAATGAAATCTTAATAAATTATAATAAATTATAATTGATTATAAATTGATTATAACCCCTGCTTATAACAATAAGCAGGGGTTGATTTAGAAATTTATAGGGGGAGGGGGCGGATTTTCAAAAAAATGCCGAAAGTTTTGTCGACCTTTTTCTTAGGTTGACCAAATTAATTTTATGAGCACTCCTAACTCTCTATGAAGACATTATTTTGATCAAGAATCGCTTTTTTTGGCGCGCTCTCCCCTCTCAAGTTAGTATATATTGGCGACAAAGGCGCTTTTCGAAATATCTTAGGCTCCGTCACCAAAAATTGAGATCTCAAGATAGTTCAAAGGGGGAAACCCAGCCTTACCCCTAAAACCGCACCTGGCTATAAGTACAAAATTACAGTTTCTTTTAGCTCGGTAACCAACTGAAAAAGAAACAAAAACAAAACGAAACGATTATAATCGAAACATTTCAAAAAATAATCGATTATAATCGATAATAAACGATAACAATGGTTTTTATTGTTTCGAAAAATAAAACATCATTATCCATTTTTTATCGATAATAATCAATTCTTTTTGAAATTTATAGAGACTGACAATAAAAATCCATTATAATCTATTATTTTCTTTTTTTTTGCTGAGTGCGGGTTTCACTCTGTTGGGCTTACATGTGATGTTTTTCAAATCAATTGAATGTTTATCTTTATGAATAATCATAATTTAATGCGTCTCAAAGAATGCATTAAAATTAGCAAAGAGATAACACTGAGCTAAAAACCAGTGCAAAACAAGAGGCATAATCAAACACGTTTATCGAAATTTCTTGATTAAACAATTTCGAAGTGCAATTGGCTGAAACCAATTTAGTTCTCGTCGACAAAACCTACTGCGAAGATAGTGGTTTCCTGCTTTTTAAGTACTGTTTACAGCATTTAAAAGCTTGCTTAGGTGAAGATTCATCGCATTTTTAGCTCCTTAAAAAATCTAAAAAATGACTCTAAGTCAGGAATGAAACGTTTAAGTTTTGAGCCCTGCTTTCAACGTAAATTTTTTCAATGTTGCGCATCAAATTCAACTATGATCTCATCTAAAACTGCAGTCTACGTTCTAAACACTCGGAGTTGATTTTTTTAAAATCAATTTTGTATGACTTTTTTTTTAAATTAAGCGTCTGGCTGAAAAAATACTTCATAAAAAATTGAACTGAAGCGATCAAACGAAGTAATACAAATTTCACAAAAGATTCATTCATAATTCATAAAATCGTAATCAAAATTGATTGTCTCTAGCTATAAAGTAAACGCAAGTCGTCATAATGGCCATACCAGCTGGGATATCTTTCTGGATTGCATTTAAGAAACCAAGGAACTATCATAACCTCTGCGTAATTTGATTCACGTTTCACCAACTTCTGAACCTCTACAAAACGCGTACTCGGTACCATTTTCATAAATCCATCCAATTTCCTGACGATTAAATTAAGTACACTTTTAGAGTTGGTATTGATATCGTTGCTGCTAATTTTCTCAACTATTGATCTAATTTTTCCAAATGATTTGTCGGCTTCAGTTGCCGTTAAAGATTTGATAAGCAGATAGGGTATGTATGAGTAATGGGTTAGATGAGCCCCTCCAAGCAAATAGCCTCCAGAGTTTCCTCTTTGATATGTTGGATAACTTTGATGAAAGTTTTTCGCTTTTCCGAATTTCCAATAGGTCGGATTTCCTATTGTGTATGGATGTCCTATAACTGGAAAGTCAGAAGCAAATGCGTGTTTCAATTCACCAAATGCAAACCAACTTCCAATGTCAAAAACCGAAGATTTTAGCCGACAATAACGCAATCTATGTATGTTTAGTCGGTTCGTTATCTCGTCGGCATCGCCAAACCCAATTACGTCATCATCTGAAAGCAATAAAAGTCTGTCGGACCATTTTTTCAACTTTTCCCACCGTAGTTTTTCTTGCAATCTCTCTGATCCAAAAATTCCCTCTTCTGGTGTTGGCATAACAATATCAGCATCATCAAGAACGAAATGAATTACTTTGTCTCTGAATTTTTTGAAACGAGGTTGGAGTTGGACAAGCTCCCAAATTAGAGGTTTTTTGGTCTGTTGGTAGTGACTCTCAAGCGATTCGGTAATAATGAAGTAATCGATTACGTCATAAAGTTCATTCAAGTGGATTTCAAGGACATCCACATCATAGCCTAATTTGATTGCGTGAACAACTTTTCCAGGAAGCTCTTTCAACTCCCCTGTGAATATGTTTTGGGTTTTTGGAACGTGACACAGGTGTTTATTGACAGGAGGAAGGGGTTCGGGTTTGCAGGATTCGTTGATTGTAGCTGCGGGTTCTTTGATAGAAAATGGGATCAGAAAGTCGACGAACGATTGGGCCGACAAGTGTGTCCAGTCGAGACCTAAGATATTCAAAATAGAGCAAAGAGATTTATCTAGGGTTCTAATAATCATCTAATCGATTGTATAAATTCAAATTATAAAAATGAAAATGGAAAAATGCAAGTTTTATCGCTATACGTTTTAGGTGAATATGGGTTCGATTCAGAAAATTGACTCAAAAACAGATATTTCATATTGACAAAAATTATTGTTGGTTTAAAATTTATGATACAAACTTTTTAATTGATGCAAGAAGTCATCTTGTTTAATTTTTGTTCCAGTTTTTGACAAGTAGTCGCTTTCCTCTGCTTCAATATCCAACAACAGAATTTTGCCTTTCTCCCCCTGATAACTAATTTTCGGCACCTGATGATTTCTTGAATTCACAATAGGCTTCGAGAAGTAAATTATTGTTGTCAGGGAGAATGCGATTAGGAGCAGAAGTGTCGATTTGTTTGCGTGCAGCATCATCAGTGGTAATTTGAGGACTTTTTTCAAGAGATTAAAAGGTGTTTTTTCTTCTGACTGATGAATGTAATCCATGATGAAGCAAAATTTTTTACGTCCTTGTTTCCTGTTTGTTGAACAAAAAATGTAGTTGGAAACTGTTCACACGCAATAAACCTGAACAAAAAAAACTGTAAACACTGCTTCAGACTCTTCAAATATTTAAGCAAAACGCGTTACTTAAATAACAAGTAAGCAATGAAGTTTTAGGCACAATAGTTAAGCAAACTTTTACAAATACAGCTCAAGATTTGATATTTTCTGACATCGGTCTTTTGATGCTAGTTAGGGTGTTGATTTAACGACTGTTTGGATATTATTAACTTCATATGGTCTCTAGTCATGAATTACCACCGTTAAAAGACAATTTGAATGTTTTACATTATGAGCTATTTTGGACTTTGTAAAAATTTATCCCAATTTTACGGGATTAATGAATATGATTCAAACTTCGAATTTGCTTTTTCATATGGTTTTATTTGATACGATTTCGTGGTGCTTAATCCAAGAGCAATTGGCCCATTCGTCTTCGAAAAAGACTGATTAACACAAATTCTTTGTAATCCGAAAGATTAACAAAACTGACAGTGTCAGAGTAGTGTGCTGAAAATCTTGAGCCCTTTTGTGCTTTTCAGGAAGTTTTCGGCTCAAAGACGTGGAATAATTTTTGACAACCCTGAATATATTATGACTGACGGATGTTTCAATGAATAAAGAAGTGCCAGCAGCTGTTTGGTTTGGTTAATGAGCATTTGAGGTATCTCACCCTAAGCAAAAACTACAAAACCCAGCAAAGGCGTTATCATTCAAATTTGAGTTGATATGTAGGTAGTATGCAACCAATGAACCAATCGAGCTTTTTTATATGACTGTCGAGAATTTTTTTATATTTTTTTCTTTGGGCAATCATTGTCTCGAAGATTGCAAGTAACTAGGGCCGATGCTTCTCTAACTTTGAATATAAAATCCAAAAACTGTTCCCTTTAGAACCTCAAAAAATACGTAATAACATTTTTTTTTCACCTTTAGATCATATTTTGACTTATGATATGGTGAGTTTTGGTAATTCACATTTGTGGGAGAATCCGGCGTTTTATTTCATATAAATGGAACTAGTTTCAAGCAGTTATATACATACCTCAAGTACCTCGGATTGTTCTTTTGCTCTTTTGATCAGTTTGAATTTACTAGAACAATTTCATGTACAAAACTTACAACTTTCGGCGAAACACGTTATAGGTACCACTTTGAACACGCTGATGGCCTGAGCTAAAAATAAAAAAAATGACCGATATCATTTTGCGAAAAGTTAGGAGTAAAATTCCTGGTTGTTTTAAATTGTTTCATGCAGGGCGCTTAACTTTTTTTGCGTATTACGTCGAAAGCGTCAGCGGCAAATTAAACTGCCTAAGAGACGCAGCTGGCTCAAAGTATATCATTAATACGCGTATCAGGGCGAAATATGAATGTTCCAACTGCCCTTTAAAGCCTTAATTGAAAAATAGTGTTGGATAAAAATTTTATCCAAACTTTGAAAAATGATAAAATAGCAAAATTATAAATAAATTTGTTCCAAGTAGTGAAATAATCCAACAATATAGAGAACTTATCATTGATAGAGCACCAACTTGTGCAAACGCAGAAGATAATTCAACCTGTTGAAGCGCCGCTGAGAACTTTCTATTAAATACTGTCTTATATGTACCTGATTGTTTAATCTAAGTTATGTTCATACAGAAAAAAAAAGATAATAGATTTAAAGAGAAAAAAAAATAAATTTAAAAATTTTACAATTTCTTTATCTTTCATCTAAATGATATATTTTTACAGTAAAATTTACAATCTAAGAAAATTAGCAAAAAAAACAGTTTTCAGACTTTAGAATATTATTTGCTTTATTTCAATTAATACGATGTTTTTTTCTGGGTGTTCGCTACATCGTTCAATTACTTTAAGAAAAAACTAATCAAACTTTACTTTAAAAAAATTAAAACAATTTTTGAACCAAGATAGAGCCGTTTATGCATTAATAGCACAATTCATATCGCACGTTTGTTGTTGCAATTAGACTAATAAACTCGCGGTCTTAAACCGCGAAAATTTTACTGAAAGTTTTATGTAGTTAAACATATTGTTAGGTTTGTTCTTCTCTTGATTTTCGTAAGGTATCAGAAAATCTATTCAATTTTCCCCTCAAAATTACTATATTTTGGCCTCAAAAGAGCCTTTAGAAAAAGTTTTAAATTCCTTCAGCCGAAAAGTGGAGACCCATAATAGTACTCAAGGAGGGGACCTGTTAGGCCGGTAAATAATCGTTTTCCCGTGGAAAGGGCCGGGGTGGCCATCTCCCCTGAATCCACTGGCTGATTAAAATGCGAAACTTGCTTGAAAAATAAAAACCACACCGAGCTCAAACGTTGCACTAATTCTTAAGCAGTCGGAAGAAAAATCCAGAAGAACGAGAAACTAGTGCTAAAGACAATTAACTTGAATTAAAACTGAAGTTATTTATACAAAATGCAAATTTCCAGTAAAAACACTTTCCAGGAAAAACACAATTTTCCGAAAATCACTTACCTTTTGACTGGAAATTATTTGAAACTATTTGAAGGCTATTTATGTTTCAGTTTTATCAGAAGAGTTACTGTTTTTCTAACAATTAGTCAAAACATGAGCACACACAAATGTGGGACATTATGGATACATGAAAACCGCAAAAATGTAAGTTTGAAAGATTGATAAGGGAAGGTAAAAAATGTCAACATGAACTATGAAACTGAAAATATTTTTAAATAACTGTAAAAGAACTTGAATACAAGATGACGATTTTCTAAGCCAAAGTTGATCACACTTCATCAAAGCAACTTGCGTTAAGCCGACAGCATATGTCAAGCTTTGAACATACTCGACTGTTTGAAGTTTTCAGACTAATTTTAGAAAGATCCTAATCCTCTGTTGTAATCGATTATAATTTTTTTTCGATTGGACAAAATGTGAGATTATAGTTCACTTTTAATCAATAATAACTAACTATTTTTCAGTTTTAGAAAGACCATTAATAAAAATTCAATAAAATAAAAAATTTACTGCCGGCTCAGGTGAAAAATTTGTAGGCTCACACACTCCTCCTATAAACTTCAATTTTGTGGTATAAAGAATTGTTAAAAAGGCAAACTATGAAGAAAAAAATGTTTGTAATGAACTCATTAAGCAGGATGTCAATTTTTTTATTTGCATATGAAAACAGTTGCCTTTTCATGAAAAAAAGTTTGGAGGAAGAAAAAAAACAATTTTATCGAAAAAGTTTGAAATATACCATGAAGAAATGTTCAATTTCATGAGAAAAAAGTCCTATTAACACACTAGGTTGTTCTTAATTAAACATTCATGTACAATTCAACGGGAAAACTAGAAGCGTTGCCGAAATTGGAATTCAATGGATCTTAAATTTTCAAATGAATCTTGAGTTTTTAAACTCAAACTTCAAATTGCAATGGAAATTATTTAATTCTTCTGTTAGCCGCAAAACATTGAATTAATGATGAAATAAATTTGTTACAGAAAGTTCAACAATGCTATAAAAAGAAACAAACAAAACAAAAACATTTTAAAGGCTGCAAACTTAACTTTTTCTTGGATATTATATATAAGATTGATTATAGACTTTTATATGGTACTCACATTCAATTGAAAATCCACTTAAAATTGGATTTCGCTGCTGAAAATGGAAGAAAAATTGAAACGGACGGAAAAACGTTAGACGCGTCTGAAATATCTCCTGTTTTTTTAGCAAAAATGGATGCGTTTTTTATTTTACTGCAGAATATATTCTGCCTATCGTCTGCGCAATAGAAAATAAACACATCTCGGGGCTGAGAAGGAGAGTGAATTTATCTAACCAGGTAGAGCATAAACAGGCGGTGCGTTGAACAAAACCTCTGCCGAAGGCTAGTTTGTGCAAGCTGAAAAAATTATGGATGAAAATACTAAACAGAAATGTATCTCCGTCTAGAATATATATAAAATAAACAGGATATAATATACAGGTGATTTAATGTGAAAGTCTTTTTATAATGCAGAAATAATTGAACAATTTCCCTTTTTTGATTGATTGAAGTTTGAGGTTTTTGGGATCACAGGCATGTAACAATATGCAGGTGATTTAATGTGAAAGTCTCATTATATTGCAAAAATAATTGATCAATTTCCAGTTTTTCATTGATTGAAGTTTGAGATTTTTGGGATCAATCTTAACTAAAACGTGTTGAAAAAATAAAAAATTTCGCCAAAATGAAAGAGACGAGACTGTTAAAAAGGAGCGAATGCAGGACTTTAAAAACGGGACGATTTGATGTCGAAATTTTGAGAACTTGTATCAAATGCTTGTTTGGATTAACCCCTATTACAAAATCAGTTTGGGTGAGCCCTCATGCATTGCTAGCGAAGACCTCAAATTAAATTTTAACTAAAAAATTGTTTATCAGGTTATGTATGGCTGATTTTTTTACATAATTGCAATCACAGTGGATCAATAATATTTTTCTCGAGTGGATGGATTTTTGAAAAGGTTAGTATAGTAATTTCTCAAATTATTTGAAAAAAATATACAATAGTATTCACTCATTTACATATTTTGACTAGGTTTTAAACTTTTACCTAAAACATATGAAATAGAAATCTCGTTTCTACCAAAATCAATTTAAGAATTATGCTATCGAAAAGTAAAATTTAGAAAAAGTACATTAGGCTGTTTCTCAATTTTATCAAAAAAACTTTGACTTATCTTTCACAAACCTAAAATTTGCATTAAACAACACTCGTACTCTGAGTTTCATGCATTTTTTTATATTATGTAGCTTCTGATAGGAGGAGTGCATTTTCCTATAAATGAATCTTTGAAATCAGTTTTGAAGAGGAATGCATTTTCCTATAAATGAAGAATTGAAATCAGTTTTGGTTTTTGTTGACCTGAAATAATTTTTATGTGAATCACCTAGTGAAATATCTGCCAAAATGCTAACCCGCTGTTATAGATAAATCTCTTTTTTTTGTTAGTAGATTTCGCTCACATCCTGTTACATCACCCTTTAATACAAACTGTTTTAAAAATTTTAGATTCAAGCTTAGTCTCCATAGAGAGCGCTGGTATTTCTCCAAGCCTTCAATAACAGTTTTGTAAGCAGTGCGATCTTAAAATGCTTCCGATTCGAGTAGAATCCTAACCTAGTTGTTGTAAAATTGTTTAGTTGTTTCCATGTTTAATATTTCGAAATTTGAATTGCAACCACTAAAATAACTAAGACTAACAACCGAAAAATTTTGAACCTATTTATTAGTTCCAAGATTGTTAAAGCTAAGTGTATGCTTGTTTGTACTAAACATAAAACGTTTTTTCTGACCGCTTATTTTTTTTCAGTTCATTAGTGATGAACCAAAAATCTAGCGTTTTGCAATCGCATTTCCTGTTATGCCATCACCAAACAATGCCATCACCAAACAAACATTTTGTGGTTATTTGGTTTGGTTAAAAACTTTTGCTTAACTAGATCAGGAAAAAAGCTAGACTGATCTTTGTGGAATTCCACATGATAAAATTTTCCGATATGATTTATTATTGCAGAAAAACAGTTAGTTGTATTTCAGGTAATTACGTAAAAGCGACATATGGATTGGTATGCGTATTTCATGATATTAGCCTTTTGTAAATATTAGCTTGAAATTTTTCCAAACCCTTTTTTGAAGTCATTGAGACACTGTCTGTTTTTGTTTTTTGCTTAAGTTTTCCATTTTTCCACAAGACTAATGAATGATTGCAACCTACATCGTTGGATCCGAAATTCCTTCTTACGCCTGGTAAATTGGTTTTTTCCAGAAAAATATTAGTTTGTTTTGAATAAATGAAAAAATGCTGAAAATTGTCAGCAGTTATAGCGGTTGATATTTGGAGCAATCGGATTTTGACCTTTAACTCTTTATTTTCAAACAATAGAAAAACTAGCAAATTATCTTACAAGCGACAAAAATGTTTTCAGAGACAGACACTTTGATCAAAAAAGAGCAGTTAGCGTCAAAAAATTGCAGTTACAGTGTTCATGCATTTTAATAAATAAATCATAATCATAAAAAAAAACTGATAAATTGTCGTTTGAGTTCGAAAACTATTGAACCTTCCAATGACATTTGGTTGCATTAGCACTGTCATCCGGCATGGATAGATAAAACTCCATATAAAACTTAGAATGTATTTATATGTCATTTATGTTTTGATATTATAAAACATTAATGTGTACTGGTCGATTGACTTTGATAGCAAGGACGAGAATGGCGGCTAAAGAGAACTACGGTTCAGAACGTAAATAAAAGTTAACATTAACTAGTTGTTTCAATTTCTCTCTCTCGAGCTCGACATTATCTATCCATACGGATTCAAGGATTAGCAGTTCATACCTTAAGGACATAGCTGTATGACATGGCGGAGCCATCAGGATTTTCGAAGAAACCACTCAACATGAACCCATTCTAGGAACGAGCATCGGCCGAACCCCCATTAGAGTGGACAAAATGGGCGGCAATACTGGAAATGGCAGTATTCGCGAAAGACGTCATCGAAATTCGAAGTCTATTACGAACAAGACCACAATTATTAGAGCCATCTGAACCAGTAAACGAGGTCGAGATAACCGGCGAAACGGAAGCTCAAAGAGAAAACCGCGAGTTGCGTAATCAAGAAAAAAGAGTGGGCTGGGAAAACCACGTGATAAAAGCGCGGGAGAAAGGAGTTCTGTGTAGCTCAATCAGATGGGATGAAGCGGACGCAAAAATACGCAGCTATCTTTTCTTGTGTCTCGGCGCTGAAGGACAACGCCAAATACAACAAAAACGACCTAATTTACAACTGCGCACGGTATCTACGCAACAATTCATGACTGTTTTGGAGGATATATTCGTAATGACACTTATAAGAGCTTTTGAGAGGTATAATTTTATTTGTCAGCAACAAAAGAAAACTGAATTTTAGAACAACTTCATGCTGACCTAGTGGAACTAGCTTCACGGGCCGATTGCGGCGACCGAGAAAGTGAGTGGTTAAGGGATATGTTTACCGCCCACATGAACAACAAAAAAATTGCAGAGGAATTGCTAGCACAAACACGTACCCCACAGGAGGCATACGAATACGCAATTCGACGTGAAAAAGGAATAGAACACAGTCAAACAATGAAAACAAATCCGATCGCAGGTCAAAAGTGACCCAAAAACAAGAACCGATGCATTATGTTAAGACACGAGGCAGACAAAACCAACAGTACAACCAAAACAATCAGCGAGGTCGGGGCGGTTTTCGCGGCCGACCGTATCCACGTGGATCACAAAACACAAGGGGTCAGCAATATCAACAACAACGAAACACAAACAACAAACAGTGTTCAAGTGTGGAAATCAATATGGTCCGAACCATCTACAATCATGTCCAGCAAAAGACCAAATTTGCTCAAAGTTCGCGAAACGCAGACACTTTGCAAAAATTTGCCGTTCTACAAACGTAAATTACCGAGAAAATACACCTGAGGTACGGCAAGAGGAGACAGAAATAGAGAGCACGGAGACGGATACCGACCCGGTCGCGTCTGCTGAGTTCACCACAAACAATGGTTGGGAGAACTATCAAATAGACGAATTTTCCGTAATGGCAATATCGGAATCATTCGAAATAAAAAACACAAAAACACTATCGGAAGACGACTTAAATGGACAATTTGTTAAATTGAAGACGAATACAACAGAACTATTCGCCTTTGCCGACTCGGGCAGCCCGATGTATTTCCTAAACGAAAAAACCGCTCAACGAAAACAACAAAATGATCAAACGGCAGTGTTCAAAAATATCCCACCGGAAGATACAGACAGAAATTTAGCATGTTACAACGGTGAATCAATACATCCTAAAGGAAGGCTAATAGTTACTTTTGAGTCGGGAGGATGGAAAATACAAACAGCTCCGTTCATTATAGTGGACAACCACAAAGCAAATATAATAGGACGGAATCTATTACCAGGCATCAGCATTAAACTGATTCAGGAAAAACAAACTCACAGGGTACTCACGGTGCAACGAAGCGACAAATGAAACCACGAAAGTAAACAATGGGTCAAGAATAATTGCGTACGCATAGGAAAGTCAAAACACCACATAATGAAAACACAATTTAGTAAAGAATTTGAACCGGTACAACAAAAGGGTAGACGTCAACAAATACATCTGCAAGAAAGGTTCAAAGCGGAATTAAATAAGTTGATTGATCATAAACACATTATCAAACTCGATAAGTGTTCAGACAAACAATTTATCAGCCCAATAGTTATCACAGACAAAAAGGACCAAACGGTTAAACTGGCCCTCGATTCCAAAAAGATTAACAAATACTTACACAAAAACAAACATCAAATGCCCAACATAGATCTTCTTCTGGATGATATCGCACAAATGGTGAAATCAGACAAGTTAAACCAGTCTTTATTCACTACACTCGATTTACGATACGTGTATTCAAAAATCCAGTTGGATAAAACAACAAGAGAACAAAGCAACTTCAGCCTCCTTGGCGGAAACGCTACAGGAACATACCAATTCCAATCGTGATTTTACGACCTTACTAGTATGCTGGTAGAGTTTCAAAAATCAGTGGATATAACTCTCACAAACTGCAATAATACTTACGCATATCTGGACGATATTCTAACCGTAACAAAAGGAACAATAGAGACACATCGATAAAAACTCCAAACGGTGCTAACGAAACTTGACGAGGAGAATCTTGCAATTTCTTCTAAGTTCGCATTCAAGCAAGTTGAGTGGTTAGGTTTCACTATCAACAGTGAGGGAACCAAACCACCTATAAAGAAATTTGAGGTAATTGAAAAATTTTCGCCTCACAAAACGTTGAAACAACGTAAAAGCTTCATGGGTTCAATACACTATCTAACAAGATACATACCAAAT